AGAAGGAAATTTTTAGAAGTAAGTGTAAAGTGAAAAAATGCAGTCGAAGTTGTTTCCCACGGCCGCTGAGAGTAACTTGTTCCGCATGGAAATTGAAGGTGTGCGCGGCGCAACGCGCCGCGTGCTATACTAGTCTAATTAGAGAACCATAAGTTGGACCTCAGGTACGTTGAAGTAGGCGACCTCCTAAACACCACTTCTATTTTTCGGGAATTTAAAGAAACCTGCAATTTGATAATCGGGTTTTTCCGCAATACGTTAAACGATAATACAGATTAGAAAAATCTTTAGATATACATCAACAAAACTTCTAAATACAAAAAATAAAAATGCAGATAGCTGTTATTACAGTATATTCCACTGAGTAACCAAATTTCCCCACCCATAAAATCCTATAACCACCGTTTTCGTAGGACAACATGCCGGGACAAGGGGTATATGAGGGGGCTACATAAACTACTGTTGCCGGCGTTTCTTCTCCAGGCAAACCATTGCTCTCTATTTTATCTACAGCTTCTTAAGTAGTCACCACACCAATGTCGCCAGTGTCGTTATTGGCTAAATATGAGTTATGCTTTTGTAGTATCCAAAACAACCACTTCGGGATAGATGTATGAATCGGGACAAAAGAAACTCTCTTCCTTCCTATTGCTGTCCGCCCAAATACATAAAGCGTGTAATGACGTGGAGAATGTTATTTTGATTGCCATACTGCGAAAAACAGTTGTCAACCTCCAGCAAATCGTGTTTAGCGTTGTTCATCACGGTTTCAGCAACTGGTGGCAGTCTCGATGGATGGATGGATGGATAGCAGCATCATCTATTTAAAGCTAAAGATGGAAATAGCATGCGCCCCCTTCCAATTACACAGGCCGTGTAATTGGGATGGGTGATTAGTTCTCAGCTTGCAGGAACGTTTTCGTCAGGTCACAATTTGGTTCTCCTTCTGACAGATCTCCTAGGCCACGTCTTGCTCCTCCATTTTGTTCTTGCGCCCTTGCTATCAACTCACAATGCTCCATTTGCTTGTACCATGCGTCGCGCCTTTCAGCCCTCCTTACTAATGCGTGGTGTAGTTTTTAACTGCCTGTTATCTCCCTGGCTTGCGCTCGTTATCTCACCAAGCAATCCCCATCAGTATCCCACCCTAGCCAGCTTTTTTGTTTGATTATTCATTGCAGAACTTTGTCGTCAAGGCGGAAGATTTTATCCCAATTGCCCCGTGCCGTCTGCCAGTGAAGGCCACTCTGCAGTTACTACACGCCCAGGATGTGGCTATTTCGACAACCGAGTCAGAATCCACAGCTGACGAGTTAGGCGCCTGTTCTTTTCCAAGCGCAGAGAGCGAGGAGAAGGCGGCAGCGACGGTGACGGCGACAGAGGCAGCCCGTGACAACTTCTGCACTGACAAACATGCTTCCAGCACAATGGACTGGCAGGCTAGCCGGCTCAGCGAGAATATTCAAGATGAGAGCGAAGAGGTGAATGGATCGAATGAAGATGATGATGATGATTTGGAGGCGGCGGAGGAGGAGGATGTTGGCGACTTTTTGCTCTCTGAGGATGAACAGGATTGGCAGCCCATTCCAGAGGAGAAAAAGGAGGACACACGGGCAGCCTTCGCCTTGCCGTCTAACATTATGCCCGTTGCTGGTAGGTCTGCATCTCGTGTTCAAGCACTAAAAAGCTACTGCGATTTCTAGTAAAACCTCCCTCTGCGATCTCGGCTAGTTCAGCTTCAGCTTAGGCCATTATCTGGTGTCCTAGGCACATAGTGATCAGTCTAATTAGCAGCCGTCTCCTGTTGGTCTTTGAGAAAGTCTCCGACGTGCCTAACGTTTTATTGATTTTGTTTTGATCCACCTACTTCTTTTTTTTTTCTAAAGCGAGGCTCGAGCCTCGTAGCTAAATAGTAGAGCGTTGGCTGCGCAAAAGCCTCCCCTACTGTGTGGGTTCGAATCCCACCGAGGCCGCGAATTTTTCATAATTGGGTCAAATGAATTAAGTTAATCTGCCCCCTCCCCTAACAACATCTGGCAAATCTTTCGGGATTTAAAAAGAATCCTGTCGCCTCTGAACTGTTGGCCATCATACAATTATGTCAGACGGCTGTCACTCCGGAGATTACATGGCGTAACCATGCCTCTAATTTTTTAAACCCAAGAATCCCTGTAGCTGACGCATTTGCATAAGGTAACTGGAGTCTGATGGAGACAAAAGCCCCAATTTGGGAGTCTTTTGGATATTTATTTAGTTTTTGCCATTGACCATAATTTGGCTTCCAGATTCATTGGATCGTCAACTTACCCCAGTCTCTGATGTATTAAAGACTTTTAATTTAGCATATGCTTTCCAACTGTATATACCCCACCCCCATGTTAACATTATTTTGATTTTTGTATTGTCACTGCCGGCGAAATTTGGGGGCTTTCGTCTCTTGTGTCTAGTAATTACTTATCTTTCGAAACTCCTGACATCTAGGAATTACTTCTTTCCTCATAAGATTCAGAGTTCAGTTTGTCTTCTAACTTATCAATCCTACGCGAGATAGACACATACAAAAAGTTCTTCATCCCAATGCTATACGAATGGGCTAGGTATTGTTCACAGGTGATGCTGGTTTTCGAGAAGTTTCGCGATGAGGCAAGGGAACGAGAATAGGCAATTATACCTTGTTCTCTGTCATCAAAATCTTTCCCATGCGGGGAGCACCGGGATCTCTGACCAATCAGTTTTAAGTCGGACTCTCTGCTATTGAGCATTCGGGGTTTGAGCCCCAGATCCGGTCGGTCTAGAGTTAAGTTATAACTGGTGGAGGACGGCAAAAAAGCAGTTATTTTAATATAAAATGTTTTGTGGATACCACTGTTCGATAGTTGATCGTTCACCCCTGTGCTATGACCAACTCTCGTATATTGCAACAACAGGCGTCCTCATGGATACTTAAACCACATGTTAGATGTGATAGCAGTATTTCTTAACTGCGAAGTACGCTTGCTGCGTCACGCTAAGGTCATCTTCACACCAAGCTCGTGTCACTGAGAGCTAAGACAAAAAAGCAAGTGGGAACTGCTCTCCGGAATAGTTTTTTAGATGTTAGTTAGGATCAGAGACCAGAATTTAAAAGAATTGCCGGTCATCTGTATTTAACTTAGGCTAACTGCCCATCATCGTGCCGTAATTGATAGCACCCAGAAACATTTTGCACCCAGCATTTCATACCAGGTGTACACCTAGCCCTAGATAGCCCAACTTCCTATCTCGCCCCCCCCGCCCACCCTATTGAACCAGTGTTGCCGGGATATCCAGTACAAAGAAACGTCATGGTATTGATGGCAATATCATCTTCGGACATGTATCCTGCGATAACTTTACGGTTTTTGATACTTACGTCCTCCCCAACAGTGGACCGTTTAATTTTCCATACTCTGCTAATAAAACACAGAGTTTGGTATTTGAATTTCGATACTTATTATGGCACTGTCATATTGAGGTTCCATCTTAGGTGTCCAGCTTGTTTTCCGACCGATTTCCAGTCCGACGCACTGTTTAATGGTCGTTCTTCGTCTACCTAACTGCCAGCATCCCGCCATTATTCACACCTGTCCACGCCGGGGCTTCCACGTTTAAACGGACAGTAAACTCAGCATGCTGCTATTTTTAGTCACCCCTTTATTACATATTCATCCGTCACTCAGTGCCTTTACCAAACGTTTTCCGCCATCAGAATCCATGCACTTATACAATGCCTTCATACCTACTAGCGCAATCGAGAGTAATCAGCTCGCATGCGTATCCACTTTCCTGAACAATATTCTACCCTTATTCCGTCCGTTTTACTAACTCTACCCGAAGTCTTTCTTCTTCTGCCTTTTAGTCAATTCTTCGGGTGTTCACCTTCTGGAGGACGGCAACTTCTTTTACCAGTGCGCCGGTCTACCGCCCCTCGCAGTGCCCGATTCCAGTGACGGTTTTGTTTCCACCTCAGAGAACGACGAGGAGGCTGGGAGCAAAGCAACTGAAAAGGAGTCGGAAACAACGAAGCCGAGCGAGGAAGTC